TTATGGGCTTCTTCCTATTCCTTGCTCATGGACACCTGGGCAGGGGCCATTTCACAGGACAAACATCTGACAACACCGATGTCACCAGTCCCATCGCCACACGACTGCGACGAAAGGACAGGCTCCTCGAGGCTCTGGGTCCAAGCAAGCGGAGGCAGCAGATGAAGGCGGGGCGCCTGGGGTGTGACAGCTCTGTCCGTGAACGCGCAAAGGGAAGAGCACTCAGACCCCACACGCGTGGGTGCACCTGCCTGTCGCCTCCCAGGGAGGCTGACGCACAGGTGAGTGAACACTTGGAAAACGCTCCGATGGGAAACTTCTGAGAGCCCGACTCGCCCAAAGAGAGCAGCCGGCGTTCCCAAGTCCGGGTGTCCTCCGCGCCCCTGGGAGCATCTCTGCAGCCCGCAGGGAGACAATGCCGTGGCCCTGGCACGCGCACGCCGCTGGAGGACCACCCACGCTGCCGGTCAGGCCTGAGGGGGCACGGAAGACCGGGCGTTCTCCCCCGGCCTCTCACCTGGTGCCGTAGGCGTGCACCTCCAAGGCCTGACACGGGGGCAACATGGCGCGCCTTCCACTCTGCACGTGCGAACCCCACTACATGGGGTCTCCAGGGGGCGCAACCCGCTCTGAAGGGCAGGCGTGTGCCGCGCTCACGGCAGGCCGCACCCCGTCGCGGTTCTGCTTTCCACACATGAGGCTGGGTTTGGCTGGGCCCCAGGTGTGTGAAAACAAGGGTTTGTCCCATGCCTCCCAAAAGAGTCACCCAGCACCTTCCTCCTGAAAGTGTCTCCTTCATCGTCTTCACTGAGTATAGAAACTGCGAACATGCAGAAAGGCGCTGTGTGACTCCTAAGTAGGCAGAGCTCAGTAGGAAGCCAGGGAGGCGGGGTGGCACGGGCCAGCACACAGCTGCCCCCGGGCCCCCACACGGAGGGCGAGGAGGAAGCCACGCTGGGTTCCTGGGAACACCGTGCTGCCAGCGGCGGTAGAGGGGCGAGCGGTACCTCTGGGGCGTTTGGGACACAACCACTGGGAAAATGAGTCAGTCTCACAAGCAGAACCAGCTGCTGAAAGCGGCCGCCCCGGAGGCCCTGAAACGCACACGGACAGGGCTGGCTCCGGGCGCAGGCACTTCCTGTGACCAGTACAGGTGCGCAGGGCCAGGGACGACGCCTGAGGTGCGGCCGTGCTGCCTTCACTGAGCTCGTTAAACACCCCATAAAAAATTATTCAGAGAGGAACTAACTTCACCGCAGAAATGCATAAAGAATGTTTATAGCAACAACTATCAGAAAAACTAACCTTTTCTAGACCAAGGCAATTATGGTCATGGGAACTATTGCAACCTCAAAAACAAACACAATTCTATGACTAAAATCACGTGAAACTTAAAAACCAAAGGATACTATGACTTATCTTTGATCAACCAAAGGTTAGTGTTTTTGTCAGGCCATGGAGAGCAAACGCTTTCTAGACCTTGTATTTTCACCAGTTAAGGACAGGACTAAAGATAATTTTGGTTTTTCATTGTTCTAGGTCAAAAACCATTATAGCAAAAACAAGCACAATAAAAAGCCACTACACTGAAAAAAAAACTAAGCACTCAATGACCCAGGATTAATTGTATTTTTTAAAAAAACCCCGCGAAACCACAGATTCCGGCCTCCCCAACGCTTTATTATAATAGAGGAGGAGCTGCAGGTGATACCACCTGGTATTTGTCTTTTGAGGCAGCTATTCCCCAAAGCAAACTCGTTCCCTGATTATTATTCACTTGCTAATAAGCTAAATTACTCAAATATCCCTACCAGAGGCCAGAGTGGATTGAACAGTGTGGTCAGCTACGGAAAGAGGGTCACATCAGGGGAAACCAAACAAGGAGGCTGAGGAGCCGCAGCCCTAACTCCTGCAGCCCGAGGGCACCGCCTGTCACAGTGGCGCCCGACGCGGGACCATATGGAACTACAGGCGCGTCACAAAGGAGACCCAGGCCAAGGGGCAGAGGGCGCGGCCAGGTGCTTCAGGCGCCTCCCCATCCTCCCTCCCTGCCCCCAGGAGGCGGCCGTCGCCCCTGCAGCGGTGGGAAAGCAGGCGCAGAGGCGAGCGCGCACCTGCAGTGAGAAAAGAGGGAGTCTGGCCTCCCGCGTGGCTCCTCAGGGCCCCGCAGTCGGCCGCGCGGCGGCGCCATCGCTCACCAGGCGGCCGCTGGGCACACCGAGCACCCCTCCTCCGACACTCGTGAGAACATCCAACTCCTTTCCTGTAGCTCGGACTCTGCCCTTTCCTGACTGGCTGGGCACCCACGCTGGGTCACGTGCAGCTCGCGGAGTCCCGGGTCCCTCCCCTTGGCCGGGAGGGGCTTTTCCGATCTGTCTCTGCGCGTGCAAAACCGGGGCGCGAGGCGGCGTGCAAGGTCGTGTTTCAGCGGGCACAGTGCCGCTGTCCTTTCTTTCCAGTCATTTCCAGGCAGATCACAAATAAGGGCCCCTGGTCTGCGCCTCAGATTCACGTCACGTGGGTGCGTCCCGGTGGCAGCTGCGGGCGAACTCCCTCAATCCCCCCCCCCAATAACACGGCACTATCCTCCGCGACTCCACTTCCTAGTCTCTGCTCTCGCTCCCTCCCTTCACACCTCCTGGCGCCACCTCGCCTGCCACACCCCTGCTCGCTCTCTGGCGGGGCGGCAGGAAGCTCGTGTGATGGGGGCCTGGTGGGCACAGGCTCCCCTCGCGGAGCGCCGACCACTGGGCACACCTTGACCTGCAGCGCAGCTGCGGCCTCCCCGGCCTCTCCACGCCCCCCTCAACTGACACATCACCGAGGCCGCAGGGCCGAGCAGCCCACGCTGTGGAGCCCTCGCCTGTCCTGTTCCCCTTGATGCCCCCCGGCTGGGAAATTCTCCAAGGATGAGCCACTCGGTCTGGGAAAACACCCGGATGTTGTCCAACTGCCGCCCTTTGTAACCAAAACCGTGGGGCCCCTGGAGGTTCAGCGACTCCTGCCGCACCCGTGCCGCGCCATACCCGTCAAGCGCTGCCTCCTGCCACGACAGCTCGGCGGTGCCGCGCCGCGGGCCACGGGCGCAGGCTCTGCGTCCGTCGGTGCTGCCAGGAGCAACTCCAGCCTGACACACGCCGCCTCCAAAGTGAATAGACACGAGAGGGAGACGCTCACTCCTGAAGACGGCGGGAGACACGCCCCCGCAGTTCTCTTCCTCCTTCACTATCACCTGAGATCAAGACACCTCTCTTGGATCAAAATCCAAGAACTCCATGGTAGTGTATGAGGGGGGAAAACCCCCACATTGTGATCACTGCCTGCTGGGATATATCGATACAAAACACAAACCGAAAACCTTAAAACATGGAGTAGTGTTTCACAGATTCTAACCCAGGGGAAGGGGCACAACACTGGACTATGCAAGTGAAGGTGCCAGCGCTGGGCGGTCCTGAACGGCTCGGCGCCAGCCGCCGCAGACTGGCTCTGGCCTTCGCTGCCTCTTCCGTAAGGCACGGCTACGGCAGCACCGACCTGGAGGACGGGTGTGAGGCTGAAGCGAGAGTCGTGTAAAGCTCAGCGCGGAAGCCCTCGAGCAGCACGAGATGCTATTAACTGGGCTCAACAAATGGTGGCTGAACTAAACACCCGTAACGATTCACAAAACTCTTCCCCGTCCATGGGCACATCCGGTGCGGGCAAAGCACGCGGCATGTGCGCGGGGCCCACAAGGAAACGGGCTTGCGATCGGACGAAGTGCCAGGACGACGCGCGGCGGGGTCGCGTGGGGCGGGGCTCCAACGCACACCGCTCCCTACGGGATCTGTGGGAAGCGGGAAAGGAGGCGGGCGTCTGCTCAGGTAACCGAGGGGGCCGGCAGTGGGAACCGCCGAGGACAGGCGTGGAGCGGACCGCGAGAAGAGGCGTGCGGAGTGCGGAGGACAACGGTTCCGGGCCAGTGGCAGCCGCCTCAGCAGCAGGGCCCTGGCTAAAGCTGCTCCGGCTGCTTCTCCACCTCCCGCCCTACTCTCCCGCGCCGGCCGGCGCACCGGATGGCGTCACCGCGCGTCCCCGCCTCCGGGAACCGGCGGGCAGTCTCTCCGGGGCCCACCTACGGATTGGATCTAAGGGCTCTGACGCCACACCCGGCCATCCTGCCGGGCCCTAAACATCTCCTCAGCACGGCGAGCGGCCCGGCCATCGCCCGGCTGCGGGCCGCCACCAGCCTATGTGCCATTACCAAGCGCACCGGCGGGGCGCGCGCGCGCGCCCAAGCGCAGCGCGGGGCAACCCCGCCCCCCGGGCCTGGGGAGGCTGTACGCATGCGCGACAAGGCCACGGTGCCTGCTCGGGGACCTCTCTTTAGGTGTCTACTGTGTCGCCTGACTGTCTCTTTAAAGATTTAAACATGAGCGCCACCTTGCCTTACTCCTCAGCTGAACACAGAAACCGGCGCACGACTCGGGATATATGCCAAGAGGAGGGCTTTCAGACATTTTGAATCGGGCATCTACAGGGACACACATTTCCGGGGTCCTCCATGGGCAGCGGCTCACAAAGGCTACCACCACCCCTCGCCCCCCGGGGGCCGCTGCGGCAGGTGCCCGAGTTATTCAGTGAACGGGCAGACTGCCGCTATTCTAACCCTCAGAACAAAGGAACTGGTTCGGTGTGTGCTGTGCAGCGATTTTCCCCTTCACGAGTTTCTCTTTGTTCTCTGGATCACAGAAACCCACGCCAGTTTTGATGGGCTTACAGCTGTGCTGTCCAGGAGTTTGGACATTGATGGACCCCAGCGACCCATGCTGCCCGGCTTAGAGTCGAAGATGAACAAGCCTGCTGTTGGGCGAGCCTGTGGTGACCCTTCCGCGTCTCCGGGGAATCCCGCCTGCGTCTCAGTGCAGCCCATTCGCTTTTCCAAGCCCTGCAAGTGAGCAGAGCAACCACAGGCCACCTTGCCCCGGAGACTGCGGTGATTTTATTACATTTTGGAGGCAAAGATGCCCGGGAAAAGGCCCCTAAATGCAACGGCCATCCCGAGTGCCAAAAGGGAACGGAAAGCAATTACCCTCGACATAAAATTAGAAGTGTTACGACGATTTGAAGTGGGTGAAAAGCTCAGCCAGATTGCAAAGGCCTTAAACCTTGCCGTCTCTACGGTGGCAACAATCCGAGATAACAAAGAAAAAATCAAAGCGAGTTCACAAATAGCTACTCCCTCGAGAGCCTCTCGGTTGACTCGCCATCGAAGCGCAGTCATGGAGAGCATGGAACGCCTGCTGCGTGTGTGGCTGGAAGACCAGAACCAGCGGAACATGCCCCTGAGTGTTGCCATGATTCAGGAGAAGGCCAAGAGTTTGTTTGATGACTTGCAGCATGAACAAGGGGAAAGCTCTCAAAAAGAAAAGTTTAGTGCAAGTAAAGGGTGGTTTGTGAGATTCAAGGAGCGCCATTGCTTGCCCCACTTCAAGATGAACAGCACTGCTCCCAGCAGCAAGGACGCATACCCCGAAGTTCTGAAAAGCATCATCGAAGAAGGTGAGTACACCCCCCAGCAAGTTTTTAATGTAGATGAGACAGGGCTTTATTGGAAGAGAATGCCTGAAGGGACGTTTATTGCCATGGAAGAAAAAGCTGAGCCAGGGTTTAAATCATCCAAAGATCGCTTGATGCTGCTTCTTGGCGGCAACGCCGCTGGGGACTTTAAGTTGAAGCCCTTATTAGTGTACCATTCAGAAGACCCCAAGGCTCTGAAGGGGTACTCCAAGCCCAATTTACCTGTGATTTGGCGCTCAAACAAAAAGGCCTGGGCAACCAGGAGCATTTTTCATGAATGGTTCACATACTTTTTTTGTCCTGCTGTGGAAAAATACTGTGCCCAACATAACCTAACCAACAAAGCATTGCTCATCCTAGACAATGCACCATGCCACCCCGTGAATTTGAGTGATCTCTCTGATAACGTAAGAGTGGAATATCTTCATGACAGTACAGCTGACTTGATGCAGCCCATGGGTCAAGGTGTAGCCTCTACCTTCAAAGCTCATTACCTGAAAAGGACTTTTGAGCACATCCTAGAAGCCACAGATGGCGAGGATACAGCTGTGATCAGGGAGTTTTGGAGAAACTACAACATCATGGATGCTGTGGACAACATCGCGGTAGCTTGGGAGGCGCTCAGACCAGCAACAATGAACAGTATGTGGAAGAAAATTTGGCCCCAGTGTGTTCAGTTCCAGAATGTTCCCCAAACAGATAACATTGCACAGCTTCGACAAAACATTGTGACCCTTGCCAGGACTGTGGCTTTTGACACAGTTGTGGAAGCCGACGTGAACCAGCTGCTGCAGTCCCACGAGAACGCACTCTCGAATGAGGAGCTGAGGCAGCTGGAGCAGGGGCCGGCAGGGGAGGAGGAGAGTGAGGAGGCTCCACCTGCCCTGCGCCAGCTGACCACAGGGGAACTCTCGGCAGCCTTCTCGCACTTTGAGGCTGGCTTACAGGTCCTCACCAGTAGCTGCCCCGATGATGAGTGGAAACTGAAAGTTTCACGAGCAATCAGTGATGCAATAAACTGCTATAGGGAGTTGTACAATGAGAAGAAGCGGCGCTTGAAGCAGCTATCCTAGGTTGTCTTCCAGTGTGTGTGACCAAGAGTTAATCCAAGTAAAGCCAGAAGCAACAAGATAACCTCAACGGATGAGGCCCAGCCAAGCTTATCTGCTTCCAGACATTTAACACCCCTGGGAACCCTGCTTCTGGTATTTTGACACTTGAGAGTATCAAATTTGGCCATTAAGGTTTTATTTAAATATGTGCTTTAAAAATATTGCATGCTAAAATACTCAAGAAAAGATTTCTTTAAAAAAAAAAACAAAACAGTAATTGGAAGGGAGACCAGCCCTTCTAGACATTAAAACACACTATTTAGTAATCAGAACTGTGGAATAAATTAGAAAGTCCAGAAATAAATACAGATAGACTTCTTTGAAAACAGGACAGGACAGCTTGTTAACCATTTGTAAAAATATAAAATTAGATCCATACCTTACAGCATACACAAGAATAAACAAACAGATTAGGGTTCTAAATATAAAAATTGAAACCTAACAAGTACTACAAATCACAAGGATGAATGCATCTTTGATTTGGCTAAGGGGGAAGATTTTCTGACTTAAAATCCAGATGAAATTAATTTTTTTAAAAAGGTTAAACAATTTGGCCCCACAAAAATGTAAGTGAAATGAAACCTTTCCATCGGGGGGGGGGGCAGGACTGCAGACAAGGTCAAGGACAATTGACAAGATGGAGTAAAATGTTTCCGACATAGCTCATAGATAATAGGTAACATTCCTGATGTATGAAGAATTCTTAAAGACTGAGAAGGAAAAAACCCAAAACACAATAGAAAAGTAAACAAAACATATATTTCATAAATAAATAAATTAGATCTTGAAACACAAGAAATTGGACCTCACTCATACTTTGAGAAATGTAAATTAAAGCTACACAGATACCATTCTCATTAATCAGACCGACAAACAATATAATGCACATTCTGTTGCTGAGGCTGTGGGGTAACATTGATACATTGCTGGCAGGAATGCACATTGGTACAATCCTGAAGGAGGAGTGTCAGACACTAATTAAAAATGTGTTTGGATTTAGGAATACCACTTTTAGGATTGTGCTCTAAAGGAAAGAAAATAGATGTGCACAGATTATTTGCTGCAGCATTGTCTGTAACTGCGAGAGCGAGGGCACACCCAGAATATTCCCGTGTGCAAGAGCAGGGACTGCAGTGGCAGCTCCACTCGGTGGGACAGAGTACAGATGGAAGTGACGTCAGCAGCAGCAACAGAATGCAGAACTCCAAACCGGTGTAGGCTGGGTTCCAGGGTATACCATTGGTTGGAAAAAGCAACATAAAACAATATAGGATGCTACCTTTTGTGGAAGAAAAAAGGGGAAATACGAATATATCCCTGTATCTTACTCATTTGTGCAAAAAGAAACATGGAAGGAGAAACTGGAATCTGGGAACTGTATCCCATGGGAAGCAGACGGAAAGGATCAAAGGACAGGCAGGAAGACGACACTTGACCGAGTTTACCTTTTATGAAGTTCTGATTTGGGGAACCATGTTAATATATCACAGGAACAATAATAGGGAAATGAAATATATGAGCAACCATATTTCACATTAATTACATACCCACAGTGAAAGGGGAAGAAATACCCAAGTAAATTTTGAACACCACAGTTTGACTGTCTGCCCTCAGGCAACAGACAGAAAGGAACTTTGAACAATTATTAAGCTCTAGAAAGTAAACTTTTTCATAGAAGTGTAGGTTAGTAAGCCCAACAGTACTTTCTGTATATTATAGGATTGAGCAAATAAATACATTAAGGCTAATGGGGCCAGGTTTCTCACTTTCAAGGAATTACAAATATAAAAATGGCAGGGACAATAAATATAGTGGTGGTGGTTTGAAATTGGAAGTATCTGTGAATTCATGGTTTTTAATGTTTATAGTCAAATAGAGAAAGAGATAGGGAGTACAGCTTCCTAGCCCTGTCTGTGGGAAGGACCAAGAAGCAATGACAGCCCAGTAGCAATGTGCACACCCAACAACCACATCTTGTTTACTAAACACCATTTCCCACTAAAAGGTACTAGGGCTCCTTGGAGAAATGTTTGGTTTCAGGGGTGGAACTGGGAAAGGACAGACAAGCCAAAAACATCTTGCTATGCCAGGAAGTAAACGAGTACCTAAAGAACGCCCAGCAGGCAGAGCAAAGTCGGCACCTCCAGGAACAGGCCGGCCGCTGCCGTGAGCACAGCTTCACCTCCGGAATCCCCACTGAAAGTGCAAACCCCAATCCAGTCAGAAAAACCCACACTGAAGGACATTTTTCCAAATAAGTAGCCTGTGCTTTTCCAAAAGGGGGGTGCCATGCACCCTTCCAGATTTAAGAAGGCTCAGAGGCATGGAAGCTGCGTGGCAAAATCCAGATGCAGTTTGTTGTAAATTTTCTTGTGCTGTGTCACGTTAACTTCCTACTGTCTTTTGATAATTGCCCTGGGGCCGTGTAAGAGATGGTCCTTGTTTGGGAGGAATACGTGTGTATATTGAGAGGCAAAGCGGCATCATCTCTGCAACTTACTGTGAGGCGGTTCAAAGACAGTGTGTTTGGAGACACAATAAAGCAAAGGGGGCAAACTGCTAATATTGAGGGCATCCAGGAGACAGGTACCTGGGAACGTTTTTTGCAGTGTCCCTTTAAGTTTGTCAAAATAAAAATGTTAAAATCCTATTTCGCAATGTGAAAGGGGAAGAGAGATCGCACCCTCCCCCTCACCCAAAGCAGAGCTTTAGTTATCTGTGGCGGAGGCGCAGCTCCAGCCAGAGGGGCGGGGTTGCTGGCCGCCTGTCTGAGTGCCACTGGGTAGAGACAGGCGATAGTCACCTAGCCAGGGTTCCCGGGGTTTTCTGCGTCATAACCCCTTTGAGATCCTGGTCAAACCCTTAAATTATCTCCCTGTAGAAAAATGTACACCTACAGAGGTTTGGATGCGATCCGTTGTGGGGACTTGGGGTTTCCTGCAGTCCAGGGGGAACGGGCATGGCCTTGGGCTTCAGCGAGGGCCCTTGTAGCGGCCCAGCATGCTGTAGCCGGCTCCAGACCTGTGACGTCCTTATTGCTACCGTGGTCGAGGCAGTCCTTCCGCCACAAGGACTCTGCAGGTAACAGAGCTCCTGTTTCCTGAGCGTCCGCCAACTGCCCAGGTCTGCACTCAACTGCCTCCCGGGGCCCGGACAGCCCGTGAGCTGCCGTCTGCACCTTCATCCCCTCACAGAAGACGTGTCTGTGACCTCAGGCGTCCGTCTGACCCCCATCTGCCTGTCGTCAAATCCTGCCTTGTCCCCAATTCCACCACACACAGTAAAGTCTGGAGAACACAGATTTAATGAGACAGTGGCTGCAGCCTCGTCCCAGCTGGGGGCCCCCTGCTGCTCGCAGGTGCAAACCAGTTCCTCAGCGGGCTTTGTTACGTTGCTGTCGACTCAGACCAGCCCTGATTCTGTTTGGAGACATGGTCATCGAGAAGGGGTGTGTGCAGAGGACATGTTGAGGCAGGAGGTAACTGGGGGAGCCTTAAAACGGGGGGTGGGGCCAGCTCTGCCCAACGAATGCCAGCATGCTGGCGTTTCCTCTGGACACTGACTGACAGATGCAGGAATGGCTGACGTCGCCACGACAGAAATGTGCAACTGTGAGGAAGTGCCGGTCTGCGGCACCTGCCCTCTGCAACCCTAGGGAAGGGGCGCTGGGCCGAGGACCGTTGTGGACCCCACTTATTGCTGTCACACTGAGGTCAGAGCAGAAGGCAGGGGAACCGCCTGAAGTCCCCACGTGACACTGTCCTCCGCATCGGCCAGCAAGCCAGGCTGCCCCTCCTACTCGCCACGCCTTCTTCCCTTGGACTTCCCAGTCAAAGGTAAGGGGCACCCCTGTGGCCGTGTCCCCTGCCCACCACCCACCACCCACACGAGGCTGCTGAGCGCAGTCCAGGCCGGGAAAGAGACTTCCCACAGCCCTTCCCCTCAGCGGCAGGTCTCACACACGGAGCCTCCCTGCCAACGCCCAGGTCAGCTGTGGCGCCGCCACTGAGGAGCTGTGGGTCTTGTCCTCTGTCCGGGGACCTTTGCTAGCTGGGGCCTGCACACCTCATGCCGGTCTTCCTTCATGGGCCCTAGGCTTCCTGCCTGGGGTTCCCTGGAGCAAACGTTCCCAGCCCCTGACCTCAGGGCCCCCCAGAAAAGGCCCCAGGCTGGTGGACTCTGAGCTGCCTTGGTTCTTCCACAGGCACTGCATCAGGACAGACCTCCTCATGGGCAAATCTGGTCCCCAGAAATGCCACTCAAGCCTACTGTAACCAACCCGCTTGCCCAACCTGGAATCTCTCCCAGGGGCGCACCTGGAGGCAGGACTCCCAGCCGCCCCCTCGGAGCCGCGGGGTGAGCTGGGCGAGGCTACGTCAGGAGCCGTGGCCAGCCCACCAGGCAGAGAGCCCCACAGCCTCCGCCCCTCCACGCAGTGCAGGAAGGACCCCTGAGCCCTGGACTGGCCCTGTCACTCAATCCCTGGTCTGCACGCAACAGCTCACCTACTGGAGAATGCCAGGCAGGCAGGGCCAGGAGCAACAGGAAGACCCCAAAGAGACAAGGCGCTGGGGGGCTGGGAGCCTCCAGGTAGACCGCAAACCAACCACTGCACACAAACCTCAGGCCAAGGCTGGGTGTGCGCAGCCAAGGTCCTCGGGTCCCGTCAGCCCCGGAGGCCCTCCAGGGTCTGCAGGGCGGCCAAGGCCCAGCAGCCTGAGCTCCAGGGCGTGGGGGCCCTTCACCCCCGGGAAGCAGCGAAGCCGTCCACTCCCCTGCCCATGGAGCCCCGCAGGGGCGGGGGCGCACACCAGCACTCGCAGCAGCAGGCCTGGGAAACAGCCCGGCACCGCCTGGCGTCCCCGCCGGGGCGTCCTCTCCCGGGGACAGCAGTGCCTGCGGTGCTCATGCCCCTCGGGCCCAGCGTGGGCCGAGGTCCCGGGACTGCCCCTCGGGGGCTCCAGAGCACAAGAAACGCCTTGGCCTTGGCGATGGCCAGCGGGGTGGGCTCCCGACGGGCCCAGGAGGGGCGTCCTGGCTCTAGGCGTCCACGTCCGGGCCAGGCTCCTGGAAGAGAGACTGCTTCCGCAGGGTGAGCCGGGCGCACTTGGGGCACGTGGTGGAGTTGTCGTAGTAGCAGTCCCTGGGCATTGGGGACAGGGAGACGGGGTCAGACCCTGGGCACGGGGCAGGGCTCTCTACACGTAGAACGCTAGCAGTGGGTCTTCACAGGCTCCTTCGCTCAGGTCCCAATACCTCCTCTACAGCTGGGGACACTGAGGCAGTTTCTCCCACAGGGCACAAGCAGGGTCTGTGCATGCGTATGCCTGCCAGGCCTGTGGTTGGGCACCACCTGCTACCTGGTTACCACCTGCTGGGACCTCTTAGGGACTCGATGACCCCACCCGCCCCGCAACCACCGTGCACTCCGCCCCAGGCCACAGTGGAGGAACAGGGGCCGCAGGCTAAACTTCTGAAGGGGGCACAGCCGTGGTTGACATCTGTCACAGAGCATGCAAACCACTGGCTCCAGGGAGTTCACAGTTTCAACGTGAGTCCCTTCTGTGACAGCAGCCCCAGCTCAGCACAGCTGTGATGTCAGCTGCTGCTATGACCCCCAGCAAGCGGCTGCCAAAGCCAGTGTGGCAGAAACGCGGGGGGTGCTGTCCCATCTGAGGCCACGGCGAGGAGCTCAGTAAGGCCCAGCAAGCAGACAAATATTATTATTAGTCATCGTGCTTATTAAAGAGTTAAAATATGTTTCTTCCAATGTATGTGTATTATTTTTCCAAACACTCTGTAAGTCTTCATAAATGCTTAAGTTATCTAATCTTCATACACAAACATCAGCAGAGTTTTTAGCCTGGAGCAGTTTAAAAAAATCACTTGGACACTGGAAGGGCCAGGAACCAGGAGGTGAGGGAGCCTCTGGCCTGTGCTGACCCTGAGGAGCCCGCCCCATCCCGAGGGACAGGGAGGCCGGGGGCGCGGGGCTCACGCCGCCGCCGCCCCAGCCCCATGGGGGAGACATGCCCTTTGGTCACACCAGGCCCAGCTGCATCTCAGGATCAACGCAAAGCACTTTGAAAACGAGGCAGCGAAGACCAAGCCCCAAGTGTCCCCCTCCCTGTCCCTCTCCCGGTGGCCTCAGGGCGGGTCGGGGCCACACCAACCTGTGGAAGACGGCGGAGCAGTCGCTGCACACGGACGTGTGGCTGTCGAAGGGGAACAGCACGTCGCCTTCTCTGCAGAGCTCGCACACGAAGCCCTTGGCCTGGCACCGCTGGGGGGCGGGGCCAGTCAGAGCCGTTGCCCAGAGCACCCTGCCCTGGGACACGTCACCCTCCCGCCCTGGGGGCTGGTGAGGGAGGCGCCCGGCCCACGGCAGGCACCCACCTCGCAGTCGAGCTTGATGTGCTTAGCGAAGAGCGTGTGGGTCTCCGTGAGCGAGCAGCCCAGGCGGCCTGTGTGCGCATCCAGCAGGTCCTGGACCGAGTACATCTCATCGTTCTCCACAAAGTGCTGCCGGTCCTGGAGCTACGGGACCCACAGCCGTGACTCCACGCCCCAGGGAGGGTGCCTCCCACGCCCGCCCGCTGTCCAGGCCCTGGGTGCTCAGGAGGAAACAGGCTCAGCCCCTCCAGCCACCCAGGCCGCCTTCCTGCTGCCGACGCAGCAGGCCCACCCCACCGCTGCCTGGCACACGGCACTGCCTCCCAACCCGACCCCAACGTCACCTCCCCCTTCCCTGCCTCATCTCGTCCTCAGACCTCACCAACCCTGTGAGCAACTTGTCTTTCTCACCGTCCCCGCCTGGAGGGCGCCCCTGGGATGAGGGCAAGGGTCTCGCTTTGTTCGCTGCCCCCCAGAACTGACAGCAGCATGTGCCCCCGGAGGCATGCGGGACGCTGGCTGCACGGACACGCGGGCAGGCCTTGAGGGGGAGCCTGCACCCGGCCCCCCCTCACGGTGCAGAGCCGCAGACAGGCGGCAGGGGCGCCGCCCGCCTCTCTCGGTGCCCCCGCAGGATGGGACCAGGGAACGCTTTTTGGGCAGAACGCCTATCTGCTTTCTATAGACCTGGAGTTGCCTGGGACAGTGTGGGAGGCCCTCTGCTAAAGGCACTGGGGGGCACGTGCACCTCTGTGCCGCAGTTTCCCACCCGCCCCACCTCGAGCCCAGGCGGGCGCCTGACCTGCAGGAGCAGACGAGCCTCCATGGCCTCCCTGCAGGTGATGAAGTACGGCTTCATGAGCAGGATGTCCTGGCGCAGCTTCTGTGGACGAGAGAGGCAGGCGGGCCTCCTGGGCCTGGGCAGGGGCTGCCCCGTGGCACTTGTGTGAGGCCGCGGGGGCTGGCCCTGCGCCGCCCCGTAGAGAGGCATCTCCTCTTACGCTCCGGGTCAGAACGTTCACATCGGGAGGAAGGGCCCAGGTCGGAGGGCTCCAGCCAAGCTCAAGTTCAGAGCACAGCTTCCAGGCCAGGCAGGAGCCCGCGGATCAGCCGCCCTGTCCCCGCCCCCCCTCCAATGCCTGAGGAGGACGCAGGGCCCTCCGCAGCCCAAGCAGCCTTGGCACCTAACCGGGCTCTGCCTCAGCAGCCTGCCCTCTAAATGCGACCCAGCCTCTCTGACCACCTCGTGGGAGACTGCCCGCGGCCCCCCAGCCCCACGTGACTCTGAGCCCTCGGGCTGGCTGGGCTGACGGGGGTGCTGCGGTGCAGAGCGCCCCCAGGAGTTCAAAGGCAGAGCACAAGACAGGGAGAGAACGCAATGTCTCAATAATGTCCACAGGTTATGTTCAAATAATCTTCTGGGTATGCTGGGTTAAATTATTCAAGGTATATTATTCAAAGTAACTTTACTTGTCTCTTTTTAGTTTTTTGATGTGGCTACTAGGAATTTTCAGATTTGCTCTGGCCTAGCATCGCATTGAGACTGGACGTTGCTCTAGCGCTTTTAATCCAGAGAACAGCAGAGGGGCCCCAACCTAAACAGGTGGGTCTTTCCTCGGCTCCCACAACGCACGCCCCACCCCACCGCCCCCACCCTTGTCCGGCCCCCGCAGAAAGCCCGGCGCCTCTCCCGTCACGCCTCACCCGGATCTCCACCAGCTCCTCCACGTAGTTGAACAGCAGAGGGTTGATCTCTCGGAGCCTGAGCACCGGCCGTGACATCATCAGCGCCAGGTAGCGCAGGCTGCAGCGGGACACCTGGCGGGGGAGCGGGGTGAAGGCCTGGCCCCTCCAGCCCTTCAGCCCCACCACGCGGCTCCCGGCCACGCCCCCCGCCCCGCCCCGCCCCCCGCCCCCCACCCTGCCCTCACTTTGCGGGGCTCAAAGTCCCAGTTGTGCACGACGCGCGCAGGGATGATGGCCAGGTCGTTCCAGTGGCAGTGGCTGCAGTAGTACTGGCCCGTGTAGTCGCACTGCCGGGCCTCGCTGGGCACACCCCCTGCGGACCGGGCCAGTCGTTACTGGGTCGCAGCGGCTTTTAGGGTCCCAGCCACACACACACCGTCTTCTGCGCCCTACGGTGCTGGTCTCGATGCCCAGCTGCGCCCGCGGCACGTGGGACAAAGAGCCAACTGGGCCCGGGGTTCCTGCCCCCTCCTCTCCTCTGCCCCAAGACCTCAGGCGGGGCCAGGGCGCCTCCCTGCATGGCTTTCTCACCGGTAAAATGGGACAATAATAGGACCGCTTCCAGGGCTGCACAGGGGACTTCCTGGATTCACAGCACTAAACCTCTAAGGTGTGACACACAGCGCATGTCCCCGTGGAGGTGGGCTCTCGGTGACAACAGGGCGGCACAGGGAAGGCTGTGGGGCCCCGCCCTTGGTGCCCCCAGGTGACCTGGGCTGACCCCAGGCTGCTGGTGGGAGGTGGGCAAATGCCACAGCCGTCTCTTGTCGCTCGCCCAGGAAAGGGAGGCGGGTCTGCAGGAGCCACGCCGGCCCGGCTGCCTGACCCACCCGCTGTGCTCATGCCTCGGCTGGCCCGCCCCCTGCCCAGAACGGCCGCCCCCGCCCGGCACTCACGCAGAGAGATGGGCGCGCGGCACTCGGCGCAGCGGTAGTCCTGGCTGTCCAGCCCGGCCTCCGGGCAGATGCTGAGCTCGTACTCGGCTTGGTGGCTGACCTTCGAGCGCACGCAGGGCTTGGAGATGAGGTTCACGCACTTGCTGTGGCAGCGGTAGGAACACCCTGGGGCACCGACAGCGTGACTCTCAGGAGCCGGCGGCGGCCGAGGCTGCCTGCCAGCTGCCAGGACCCCCGGGGTCACCCCAGTTTCCAGGCCAGTCCAAGAGCTTCTTGGCGCAGGTCCCTCGGTCCCTATCCCGAGCCTCACCCTGAAGGTGGGTGCAGACTCGGCCCTTGAACTGCAGATTCGAAAGCCCAGGGGCCTCCCTGACATGCCCACCCGGGCGCCTGAAGGGCTTTAAGCTCCTCCTTTCCGGACCTGGCGCGCACGCCGCCTCTCAGACCCCAGCAGCTCCGAGGCCCAACGCCCTGCGGCCACGCCCTCCTCTCGGTCGCCCCGTTTCTGTCCTTCAGCGAGTTCTTCCGCGAGTGGCCAGGTGTCACCCCCAACACCCCACCCTGGTCAGAGCGCCATCACCCTCCCCCACCACCTCAGCATCCGCCCTTCAGCCCACGCTCAGCTCAGCAGCCAGAGTGGCCCTGTTCCGACCTGCGCACGCGCAGCCCCTGCCACGGCGACCGGCTCCCTCCCAGAAAGGCCCCAGCAGCTCTGAGCCCACATCGGCCGCACCCCGCCTCAGAAAGCGCACCCCCACCACGCTGCTCCCTGCTTCCCCACGAAGACACCGCTCGCAGCGACCACGGGGCCTTCACGCAGACACCCGCCGGCAGGGACCTTCTTCCCCAGAGATACAGACCTGGCTGGCTCCCTGACCTCCAAGGTTTTGCTTAAGTGTCACGTGACGTCTTTTCATTCAACCCGAAAGTCATACCCGCCCCACTCCCTGACGCAGGCTGCCCCCTCCTGTCCTATGACACTGTCCTATGACACCTGACACGCCACGTCCCTCACTTGCTACTTCTCATCCAGTGGAGGGAGCCTGCTCTGCGCTGTCCTCCTGTGGCTCCCGAGCACCTGTAAAGTGGGCAGCACAACTGAGAAACTAAATATTTATTTTAACTCGTTTACGTTTGAATAGCCACGTGTGGCCGGCGGCCGCCACACCGGAGCAGATGGGAGTGCGGTGGAGGCAGGCGCTGGGTCTCTCGCCCCTTGTGCACGCCCAGTGCGCACACAGCGGGGGGCCCTGCCCTGCGCTGCGCTGCCCTGGGGACCCTCTGGCCCACCCACCGACGCCGGCCGGGCCGCAGCCCACCTGGGCAGGTGCACCCACCTGTGCAGGTGTACCAGGTCTGAATGAGCCCCCAGATGACGGTGTTGCACTTGTCGCACGTCTGCTTGACGCTCTTGCTCTTCTCCTTGTAGAAGCGATGCTCCAGGAGGACGCGGGTGTTGGGCTCGTCTTCATTGGGGTCCTGAAGAGAGGCCCAGGGAGCCGCTGAGGCGCCTCTTCCTTCACACAAGCCCCTCGACCCCCTTCTCCCAGGCCCCCCTGTGACAGACCGCGAGCTCCTTCCCGTGTCACCCCCTTGGCTCTTCAGCAACGGAAGGCACCGGCGGTCAGCAGGGATTGCGCCTCGGTGCCGACTGCTGGGCCCAGGGCTTGCGAGCAGGAGACAGGACCGTCCCTGCCCTTCCTCCCTTGTCTTCTGCCGGCTGAGTGCAGACCCAGGTGGGGACTGGGGCCACCTTGGATCCCTTCAGGGACTGACCATCAGAGCCGCAGAAAAGGAGGACCCGGGATCCCCAACACCATAGCTGCCATATGAGCCCTGGACCACCTACGGCACTTCCGCACGGGTAAAACGGCACAGCTTGTCCCTTTACGCCGCCGTGTCTCGGACCCTTGGTTGCCAGCCTCACCCACATGCTATGAGCACTGCCCTTTCTAAATGCCCAGGGGCCCGCGGGCCAGTGCAGGGACGCGGTGGCAGCCCAGCCAGACGCACACGCTGCAGGACTACCCTCTGGACGCACGTGGGTTTGGCTGTCAGGACCCCCTGCCCCGGCTGTGTCACCCTCGAGGACCCCCACCCCTCCCCCTGAGCCATGTGATTCGAGGTGAGACCCAGCCACTCGCTGCAGTGGGTAAGCGTGTGGCCCAGGACTGGCCAATCAGCCTCCGTGACTGAGTCAGAGTGGGCACGTGGCCAGGACTGGCCAGTTACGGTCAGGCTGCTCAAGAAGCCACCCGCACAGGCAGCGAGAGGCCAACCCTCCCCGCCTCTCTGGGCAGCCTCCGCCTGGGCCCCGGGGAGGGGGCCAGCGGCCCCCCCGGCCTCCAGGCGTCTGCGTCCTGGCTCAGTCGGGCCGCCTGCGCAGGGGCCGAGCCGGCACCCACCTTCAGCTCCTGGAGCTTCAGCCGGAGGTGGATGAGCCTCACGACGGCGTCCTTCTGCCGCTCGGAGTGCTCGGGCAGCTCTAGGATCAGCTGCTTGCACGCCTCGATGGCCTGCTGCAGCTGCCGGACGTCCGACGCCAGGAACAGGCCCTGCGGCGGGGCGCCCGCGTCAGGCGCGCCCCGCCCCTCGGGTCCACGCCAGGGCCGTCCTCGCGGGCTCTTAGGCCCACGGGCCCAGAAGCAGCCAAGAGCTTGTCCAAGGCTCAGGGAAGTCGGCGGCCCGGGTAGGAACCACCTCTCACCACCCGCCCCCCAGCTGGACCCATCGACCCACAGGTCCTTGAAGACCTAATTCGGGATGTTTTTCAAAACACAACTTCCTCCTTTCAGCGATCCAGTCACTTTCCTGGCCCTGCTGTGTCGCTCAAGCTGGCGCAGCGACACTTGTCTGTCATCAAGGAGAGGAAGTGGCCTCCAGCTCTATCGCCAGGCCCAGAGACGCCCCGGGCACCCACCCACCCACCCCGGCCAGCACTGCGCAGCCACCAGCGAAGCCTGCAGCAGGCAGACAGCTCGGCGCTGCCGCCAGGGGAGGGAGACCGCTCCGGTGCAGCCGGGAGCTGGGCTGCGGCCTGCTGGGCTCGGGGCGCTGCGCCAGCGGAAGCAGTGCCCCTCCTCTGGGAGCTCGGCGAGTGGCCACAGGAGGGCCTGGAACATGCCACCATAAAGACACAAAGCACATAAATGAAATACGTATCTGTACCAGCAAAGCTTAAAGCCACATCCCGCATGAAAAGCTCATTAGAACCTGGGGCTTTGAGGGAAATCTTTTTTGATTGATGTTGCATTTCAATGTTACTACAATGCGTCTCTCAAAAGCGGGAGACTGTTGGCCTAAAACTAAAACATTTTCAAACGTTTTGTTTAAAAATCATTAGAGCCCTTTTATTTTCTTATTTTAAATAAGGTTCTCATGCAACAAAATACAGAGCAGACAGAAGAGCGGCTGTGCCGGGCTGGAGGGCGGGCTGGGCAGGGGCTGCCCCCTCTCCTGCTAGGCCTCGCCCTGCAGCGTGGGCAGGGCCCTCGCATTTGGTTCTCAGGAACCGGGAGCTCAGGGCGAGGAACGGCCCCACCGCCCCCGACCCCCGGTCCAGCCTCTCCTCCGGCCCTCAGACAGGTTTTGGCGATGGGTGCCAGGCGGCCTCAGACTGAGGAGCCCTGCCCCAGACGGACAGGGCCCCTCTGTCTGAGGGTGGGGTGATGAGGAGGCGCCTGGCCCCTCACGCCCGGGCGCCCTGAACCTTACCACGGGGCGGGAGAAGTGGTCCTCAGACAGCCCAAGATCCATCACGCGCTCGGCGCAGCGGAACTCCGGCTCCCCGGCGGGCGGCTCAGGCAGGGTCTCTGGAGCGAGCAGGTGCAGGCGTGAAGGCAACAGAGAGAAAAGTCAGCCTGCCCTTCCCCAGGGGGAGGTCAGGCGGCCAGGAAGGGTTCGGGGAGGCCAGAGGAGTTGCCGAGGGGAGCCTGGCCCTGCCCTGGCATCTGCCCTGTTTGCAAAGGAACGTGTGGGGGGAAGGAAGCGGCCAGCTTGGTGCCCGGCTCCAGGGGAAGGCCAGCACCCTCCAGCACAGGAACAGGGACGGGAGGCGGGCGCCGGCGGGAGGGGCCACGCTGCCCACACAGCCCCCGCCCCAGCACCCACCTTCAGAAGCAACGTCCGGGGCCTCCTCACCGGCCCGCTGCTCATGCTGCCTCGGCCCGAGCTGCTTGTTGAAGGGGTTGAGATGGGCCTGCCGGAACCGGGCCAGCTTCTCATCATATTCCATAGCATCCCACCTGCGGGCAGCACCGGGCGGGACCGACGTGAGTGGCCAGCTCACCGCACCTGCCCCTCCCTATGCTTCAAAGGTTTTCAGGGGCCACGCCTGGCCTCTTCGACTCCCCGGGGCGTCTGAGCGGAGGCCCCCACACCATGGTCTCCATCCGCAGCCCTCCACCCAGGCCCTCTGGTGGTGTCCCCTCGGGAAGAGGGATGACACCCGGCAGATGCCACCACGCACGCAGATGGGACAGGCAGGGATAGGAGGGGGACTTTCTCCCAGCACAGGGCCCTTTGTCCCCGGATGCTTCCTTTATCTCCGGCCCAGCCCCGCCCTTGCCACCCCCTGACACAGACCTCCACGAACTCAGTTCCTCAGTCTTGGCCCCCACACCAGGCACCCCTTTCCCAGCAGAGCACCCCAAAATCACAACTCCCGAGCACAGCAGGCAGCCAGAGAAGGCAGCACCAAGCAGCCTGGGGCCGGTGCGAGGACCCAGCCCCCCTACCTCCTGCCTTGTGGCCTTGGGCCAGGCCCCTCCCGCAGGCCCCTCCCGCGCCCCTAGGGTCCGCACGCCTGCTGGCCACGCGCTGGCCAGGTTCTCCAGGACACTCCCTGTGGCCTGAGTCAGTGTGCGGCCTCCCACCTTGGGGTCCCAGGGGACAGGCAGGAAGGGCCCACCCCGCCGCATGGCACCGCGCCCCTCCCGGGACCCCGGCAAACCGGGACGCACAGGTCTGCTGCTGTGGCTGGGGGTGTTCCCTCCCCAGGCCCCCCCCCTCACCGCCCACCCCCACCGAGCTGGGCGACATTCCTGCCTCCAGGCTGAAATGAGTCTGCAGGAAGCAGGAGAGATGTTTTCTTGAAAGCTTGGTAGCGAGCGCCTGGGGGTGGGTTATGCTTTCTCTACACCCATTTACAGTTTGAAACAGTTCATAATTAAAAAAGGCAATCCCGTGACTCTTATCTGTCACCTCCCCACCCCCGCCACTGCCAAGACAGGAAACTGTGCCCGGCAAGGGCAGCCCTACATGGCCACCGTCACCAGCACCCCTGCTCGCTGCCACGCCTGGCGTCTGCCGGGACCTGTTCCTCCTGTTTGGCGTCTGTGGCGGGGGTGTGGGCTGGGAGGTCCCAGCTGGCAGAGCCCGGCACCTGCTGACTGGCTGCCCCCAGGTCAGGACAGGAGGACACAGGTGTCACGGGCAGCTGGGCCCTGGTGCCCAGTCCCCCCGCCCCCAGCAGTCCTCGTATTCACTAACCCCTCCCCCTGAGTGGGGACAAAAGGTCTCTGTTAAGTCAGACTCTATCCAAGCTCCAGAACCTTCTCCTAGGCCCCCCTGTGCCCTTCCTTGTAAGCCCAGTTTTAGCAAATGCGCTGCCAAGTCAGCCTAGCAGGGGTGCCCACCCCGACATCTGATTGGGTCCTCACTCTCCTCCACCCCAGACGTCTGATCGCACTGCCCTGCCGTCAGCAGAGATCAGTTAGGCCACTGCAGGCAGAACCCCTGAACCCATGACATTGCCTCCTAGCAGGGTTTCCCCCGCTGACCCCATCCCGCCCTTGGCTATGAACGCAGTTGGCCGAGGCCGCATTTGGAGTTGAGCTCGGCTCCATAGAAAGGTTTAACCCTATGGCAACAGTCCTGAGTAAATCCGTCCTAACAACTGTCCAGGCCTGGTTTTATTTCACCAGGGGAGAACCTTGGTTTTCACCTTATCACATGATTTTCCAGCAGCTAGATGTGGTCATGTGACTATGTTCTGACCAATGGGATGTAAACAGAAAGCTCTCCTGAGACTTCTGAGAATTGTTTTTAAAAGGAGGAACTGCCCCTCTTCATCCCCTCCTGCCCCTCGCCGTCTGGGATGCAGATGTGATGGGTGGAGCTGGAGCAGCCACCTTGGGTGGGAACGAGAAGCCCTGTGTTGCTCACCCCTGGGCTTCATTCAGATGAGGAAAAAAATAACCTTCTGTTTAAACTGCTGTTATTGGGAGGACAATTTCTGGTTCTTGAAGCCAAAACAGACCCCACCTGACCAGCCTGGCACGTTGTGGTGATAAGACAAATCAGCCCTATCCAAACCCCGGTTTAGCAAGGGGCTCACTATTTGGCCCTAGGTAATGCCTGGACTTTTCTTTATTTTGACTTCTCATGTTTTAAATGGGGATAATAACAGCACCCGCTGTACAGTGTTATTGTTAAGGTTAAATTAGCCCTGGCTGGTGTGGCTCAGTGGACTAAGCGCCAGCCTACAGACTGAAAGGTTGCTGGTTCGATTCCCAGTCAGAGCACAAGCCTGGGTTGCGCATCCCCAATTGGGGATGTGCAAGAAGCAACCGATGGATGTGTCTTTTGGGCATTGATGTTTCTCTCCCTCTCTAAAAATAAATAAATAATATATTTTTAAGGTTTATTTAGTTAATATTAATACAAAGTTCTGAGCACCCTGGTCAGCTCATAGTAAGCATCCAATAAACATTGGGTAAAACTTATTATTATCATTGTTACTCTTATTATTAAGAACCGGACATAACTGATTTAAACTCGGCCCCTCCCAGTGGTGACCTACGTGACCCCACTTTCCTCTCCATAAACAGGCAGAGCGTCCGCCCCCTGGGGTGCATGGAACGACCAAGTATTTGTGTGTGGCAGGGACGCCCAGAGCCCAGGGCTGCTGCTGAGCAAACGGTCACTATCATCACGTGATGACCGCCTCACCCCCGGTCTCTCCCTGGACATTTGGCAGCATTTTAAAATATGGCCAGAGTTGCCGAGATGCAGGGACACCTCAGCTCTTCCCAGCAGCTCCTGTCCGGCTGCGAGTGCCCCACAGACACAGCCTGTCTCGTTCACCCCAGGCCTGGACAGAGGCCCTGGGTGAGCAAGGGAGCGGGGCCACCTGACCTCTCCCAGGTTCTCTCCTGCTGAGTCAGAGAGTCCTGTCTCCCTCGGGGCCGCTGAGAGCAGACAGATGACGTTCTCACGCAGGGACCCAGGGAATGCCAGCCGCCCCCACCGCCCCATCAGCTTCACCCCACAGAGAGCTCGACACCCAGAACCCGGGCTTGGCCTCACGGAAGAACAGTGAGCAAGGCAGAGACTGAGAAGGATCAAGAAAACCAGCTACTCCAGCCTCCACCCCCCTCCAGAGACTGGCCCCCTCACAGGGAGGGGACTCCCTGACTTAGCCGTGGAAGGAAACCCAGGGGAACAAAGTCCAGAGCTGGGGTGGGGGTAGGGGGCAGCTGAGGGACATGGGGCTGAAACTCAGATGCCCTCACCATGACCTGTATGTCCTGCCTGTGGCTCAGGCACCAAGAGGTCCTGTTATTACTGCAGCCACCAGTGGAGGTCCCTAGAATTCTTCCTGGAGCAGGCAGTGAAGACCACACATCCTGTCTGCTCATACCCTGAAGGAGCCTGCCAGGACCCTTCGGGGACCAGGAACAGGGATACTGTCCCTTTAAAGATTGTTTGTCACTAAAGCCCAGCAGGGTGGATGCCACTGGCCTAAGGGAGCCAGCCATTCCCAAACGGTACCTCTCCCGCCTTCACCCACAAGAGCAACAGGCAGACACTCTGGGGACCCTCACCAACCAGCTGGCATAGGGCAGGCCTGTCCCACGCCCACCCATTTCATAGGTGAGGAAGCTGAGGCTCCGAGCAGCCGGCAGCAGGGGAGGCAGGCCCAGCTATGCGGGTCCCCAAGGGCCTCAGGAATGCCACAGACAACAAGGACTGACGGCCAGAAGCAGTGACACTGTCACTTGGGGAGCCATCCCTGTCTGGAGTGCTAAACCCTGCCCCGGCGGGGTGGGGTCACAGCTTAGGCCACATAAGCCCTGCCTCAGGGCGAGGGCAGAAGGTGGGCGTCCGGACCCCGCGGGTCTGAATCCTCCTGGGCGCAGGCGGGGGCCCTGGGCAGATCCCTGACCCCTTGCGCCCTCGGCAACCGCCTCGCAAAGTGGAGCTGCCCGAGCTCCGGGGCGCGGCAGGCTCTGTGCACCCGATGGCCAGGAGCCGCGGTTCCCTCCACCCCCTGCACCCCCTACCCTCACCGATCAGCCTGGGCTCCCCCTCCTCAGCTCACCTGACCGCCGCCGCCCTGGCTACATTGTATCCTGCTCGCCGCGCTCGCTACATTGTGTCCGGCCCGGCGCCCTCTGCTGCCGCCTGCGGCCGGGAGGCTCATGGCATGCGGGCACGGACTCGGCGCGCGTCCCAGCTACGTCCCGCTCTGGGAAGGGGGTAACACTTTATCTCTCCTTTTCAAGTCGGTGTGGCCAGGCAGGGGGTGCTGCATTTCCTGGATTTTACGGCATTACAAAAGTCCTGGTTTAAATCGACTCCAAACCGCAGTGGCTGGGTCGGCGGGGAGGAAGAGGGAGTCACCGGCGGCGGCAGCCCCACCGCACTCGCCGTCCGCCTGCAGACCCGTGTGGTGTGCACAGACGCCAACCTGCCGCACTTTACAGAGGAGGAGACGGAGGCTCGCGGGGGAGAGGGAGCGGCTCAGTGCAGGATGTCGTGGCGGGGGCGGGGGAGGGGGTTGTGTTTGGAGAAGCCAGTGTCTGAGGGCCTGGTCCACTTGTTCCCGGTCCCTGCCCCGTTTCTCATCACCGCCTTACACGTGTGCACTCCGCTTGTCTCTGCATCCCTCGCCCCCAGCATCACCACCCCCAGAAACTGAGGGGTGCAGGCAAGGGTCTTGTGTTGCCCATGCTTGGGGACCTAGAACAGTGGGACAGGACGGAGGAACGGACGAGTCCCCACACAAGGCTGCCCTGGCGGGCGGCCGCACCAGATGTGGAGCGCGGCCAGGCGTGGCTGCGGCCTGGTGAGGAAGCGCCGAGGAGATAGAGGAGGTCCCAGCACGCGGTGAGCAAAGGCGCCGGTGGTAAGAGGCACGGGGAGCGCGAAGAAGGAAATGAGCAGGGAACAAGGTGCGGGGCGGGTGGGGCGGGGAGGGGAGGACACCAGGGTGAGGAGCAGAGAGAACCGCAGAGAAGCTGGGGGAAAGGACCCAGGAGGGAAGCCGCACGTGCAACGAGGAACTGAAAGAGGCCGCTGCGCCCGCCCGTGAGCAGAAAGCAGGTCAGTGTGGCCTGCAGTTCGGCAGAAGGGGAAGTGAGAGGAGGGGGCGCATTTGGGAACACATGGCTTTGATTTGTGGTGAAATAGGAGCCACTGAAAGTTTCTTTTTTTCCTAATGGTTTATTGAAGTATTGTGGACATACAACAAACTGCCCATGTTTAAGTGTCCCATCAGAAAGCAGAGACGTGTGCACACCCCTGAGAAACTACTACTGTCACTAAGACAGGAAACCCAGCCACCACCCTCCTCCCGGCCTCCTCCCGACCTTCCGAAAGCCCCGCCGCCCCTGCCTTCAGCCCCGGCAGCCGCTGACCAGCTTCCTGCCACCATGTTGCAGCTTCTAGAATTCCAGAGGTGGATGTCTTCTTATGTTTATGTCCTCTTATGTTGACTGGCTTCTTTTTTAAATTACTTTATTTATTTTAGAGAGAGAGGAAGAGAAACATGCCTCTTGCACGTGCCCCAACACGGACTGAACCCGCAACACAGGCGTGTGCCCTGACCGGGAATCAAACCCATGACCTTTCAGTTTGTGGGACGGTGCTCCAACCAGCAGAGCCGCACCGCCCGGGGCTGACCAGCTTTTTTCACTGAGCAAAATTATTGTGAGCCCCACCCATGTTGAAGCAGATGACAGCAGTGTATCCATTGGCATGGAAGAACCAGGGCAGGTTACCCATTCAGCCACTGATGAGCATCCGGGCTGTCCCCAGCTCTGCCCCGTGGGCTCGGTGGAGAGTGGGCTCACACCACGAGGCCGTGAACGTGCTGCCTGCCGGGCCCAGGGCACAGCCTCCTGCCAGTGAGCACTGACACAGACCGCACGCGGCAAACCTGTCAACGCGGCTTCTGCACATGGGCATGAAGGGGCCCTTTCAGTCCCCCCGGGTGGCGCTGATGAAGTGCCACACCCGGGGGATGTAAAAACAACAGAAATGTGCTCTCCCGGTTCGGAGGCGGGAAGTACGAGGTCAGGGTGCCCACGTGGTCAGGGCCGGCGCCTCACTGTGTCCTCGCGTGACGAAGGGCGGGGGCTCTTGGGGTCACTTCGATGAGGCAATAGCCCTTTTCACGGGGCTGCACCCACAGGCTTTCAGCTTATGAACTGGGGGTAGGGAGCCGGGCACGAACACTCAGTCCCAAGCCGGTGCAGCGCTGAGAAACCCTGTGTTTGAAGGCAGTGGTGCTGGGTGCTGGGTCCTGCCTGGAGTCTCCAGGTCGCGTGGTCACTTGACCCAGAGAAGGCGTGAGGGAGCTGCAGGTAGGGGCTTCCACACCAGCCCCCACATCTACTTAAACTCTGCCGGAAACCCCAGGAAACAGGATCCTGGGCAGCTTCAAGGTCCAGGTCCTAGGTGGACACCTTTGCACCCAGCCAAGGCAACTCCGCTTCATTCCATTCTTGCCTGGCTCCGGCGCGGCCCTGGCTTCCACCTCTGTTTGGGAGGACCCCCGCTCCCCCACCCCGCCCTGCGGCAGCTGTGTCTGGAGGTCTCCAAAGGCTGAACCTTGTCAGGACCTGGTGCACGTGCACTCTCATTTGTTATGATCCAAGCCAGTAATTTTCAAAGAACTGTGAGATGTGAAAGCAAAAGCCTTTGATTTCAAATGCACTTCTATGGAGCCCCTAAAATACAAACACAGGGACTTGTTCTGTGCAGCGGGGCAGAGCTCCCTAGAGAGAGGAAATCACCTGGCCACAAATCGAGGCCCTGCTGCTGGCGCCCTTGGGCTGTCTGCAGTCTCTCGTTTCTGTAGTTGTGAGCACCCACCTGTCAGGGTTGTGACAGGGTGAGGAGTTCACGACCGACCAGCTGGCCCTGGGAGGGCCCCGCGGTGGCGCTGCAACCTCGGGAGCGCGTGGCTCAGGAGCGAGTGTTAGCGTCAACACGCCCCCACGGAGCACGGCCCAGCCCACGTCCTGCTGGAGCCCGGGCGTGGGTCTGGGGGAAGGAGGGCGGAGCCACTGGCCTCAGAGCCGCTGCGCGAGGGAGGGCGGCCGACGTGGGCCGGGCCCCTCTGAGTGACAGAGCAAAGATGACGTTCCTGTGGGCACAGGTGCCAGGGAGGAGGGTGCGGCGCGGGGCCATTCGAAGCCAAGCGAAGGCGGGTGCGCGGCCATGGGCGGACACGGGCTCTGCCACCTGCCAGCTGGCAGATGCCCTCCCGTCTGAGCCCCCGTTTCATTGCTGTGAAACGTGGACAATGGCGATGGCCCCGCATGAGCACCTGCGGATGTTAGGAGCCGCGAGGGCCTTCGGCGCCACGAGGCAGGCGTCTCAACTTTTTTCAGGTCACAAAACCCTTCGGGAATCCGAGCGGTGGACACCCCAACTTTGTGGAGGACGTCAGCCCCAGGAAGCCGCCGTGGGCGTGGCGGGAGCCCTGCTGCTGCCCCGCCCCCTTCACCGAGCAGCGGTGAGAACGCAGCCCAGGGCTCGACTCCCCAGCGGCTGCATGGCCTCCGTGGCACACACCGTGACGCGCTGCTCGGGTGTGGGGTGCGGGGCAGCTGGGAAGGGCGCCCCGCCACCTGGCAGAGCGGGTGTCCAGAAGCATCCGCCCTGAGCAGGAGCCTCTGCGTGGTGCAGGGCACAGCCCGAGCCTTGGCCCCCCCCCCCGGGGCTTCCGTTCCCTTGTTCAGGTCCGGGCTCCCAGCCCCCTTGGCCTCCCTTCTTCCACTCACAAACCCCCTTTTGGGGGGAGCTAAGTCTTGCAACGCCCCCCGCTGCATGAGGTGGCGTCCAGGCCCAGGCCAGCTCTGTGCACACTCACCATGGACCTCGACGCGCTTCTACTTCTTTCCCTGTAGAAGGAAGTGGGCAGTCAAGTTAGCCCCTTTCAGGTGCCCATGCCGGGCCTCCAGGAGCCCTGCAGCCACAGGAAATGACCACCAGGGGGCGGAGGAGCCAAAGCCACGCCTGCCAGCCGGGGCCTGGGTGCTGTGGCCTCAACTCCCTGGCCCTGTTGGCCCCTTCCCAGGGCCGAGCCCCAACCCCCAAATCCCAACACATACGCTCACAGGGAGGACTGGGGCGCCCTCCTCCCTACCTCTCGCTTGGGTCTTGGGCTTCCTGCCTCTAACGTCCAGCACACGGGTACACCAGAGGAGAGCTCTGGAATGTGAGGCGCCCAGTTGGACTAGGGATTGTTCCCAAGTCACGGGGAGCCTGCTCGAGTTCTCAGGTGACACTTCATCCAGACAAGGCCAATGTCTTCCCCTCCCCTCTCCCAGGGGCCCCCGGGGACACGCCTGCAGACTGCCAGCACAGGCCTGTCTCAGCCACCAGCGGGGAGACAGTGGTCTCCTGCCCTGCCCACGCCTGTGCGCCCTCTGCCCGTCCTCACTCCTCTGCGCCCAAGTTCCCAGAACAAAAAGGAATCTTCAGCACCAGGAAGGGGTATCTGACAGCAATAAATTTATTAAGTACCCCCCCAAATATGAACACAAACCAGTAAAAAATAAATAAATAAAATAAAACTTCAGGCCTAGAGCTGACAAAGCAGACAAATGAGCAACACACAAGTGGGAGGGACCTCTGGTGGGAGGACAGAGCTGAGCGCCGTGAACACTGAGGAGCGGACACTCGGGAGCCCCGGGCGGCGTGGCGGGAGCTGGTGGGCGAGGCTGGGCGCACCACGGCTGCACGGCCCCGGGGCAGACCTCTCGGCCGGCCCGGGGCCTGGCCCCCCGCTGCTTCACTTGGGGCCCTGGGCCTCGGACTCCTCCTCGTCGTCTTCATACATCTCGCCCTCCTCCTCGGCCGTGGCGTCCTGGTACTGCTGGTACTCGGACACCAGGTCGTTCATGTTGCTCTCGGCCTCGGTGAACTCCATCTCGTCCATGCCCTCGCCTGTGTACCAGTGCAGGAAGGCCTTGCGCCGGAACATGGCCGTGAACTGCTCCGAGATGCGCTTGAACAGCTCCTGGATGGCCGTGCTGTTGCCGATGAAGGTGGAGGACATCTTGAGCCCCCGGGGCGGGATGTCACAGACAGCCACCTTCACGTTGTTGGGGATCCACTCCACGAAGTAGCTGCTGTTCTTGC